CCCCAAAACCCCAAAACCCCAAAACCCCTCTTTATATTAATTAAATTGAAATAAAGGCATTAGAAAAAGTACTAGAATTTGCCATTTCCATTTGCTCAGCACCATAACTGGCTTAATAATCTGACATGTAAAATATATATGGAAGAGCCACTTAATTATATTCCGAATAAGAAGCATCAGAGTAATCATAAGACACGGAGAAAGAGGAAGATCAATAGAAGAGAGAAGACTATCAGGTAAAGTGTATTTCAAATATTTTATTCAGCTTGATTTGTAAATTCCATAATAGTTTGGCATGCATTCTCTACGCTTTGGTAGGAATATTGAATTTCTGTATCTTTTAGGACTTTTTGGTATTAAAATCGGTGCAGATTCAATCGTTCTATACTTTTTACTCAGTGGTATTAACATACTTCTTTCTAGGCGTTCGCTAGATTTTGAAAATGACCAAATGCTTGAGCTCAGAGGTCCTGTTTCAAAGTGTAAGTTACGAAAGCCAAAATCTCTGAAATATACAGATCCTAATTTAAATATAGTTAAGAACAAATTATATTCAAACAGATCATCATGCAACCAAACGAATTTAATCCGTACCAAAACGATAGCATTCCCCTATAGTCAGAAAAAGATAAAGAACGGAAGTCTTAAGAGTAACAGAAGGAAATGATCGATCGCAGGTAGGCTCCCTGGACCTGAATTAAGAGTTAACCAATAGTTGATGAACTTAAGCCAGAATCAAATGAGTTTACTCTCCCAAAGGGGATAACTCACCAAGATTCGCTAGGTCTTGTGATGCCAGACAAAGGAGGCAAAACATCCTCTGCCAGGATCAGTCTGGTAGTAAGCAGGAAAGAAAAGAGGTAAACTAGGATGTAATCAATAGAAAATCAATACTTTTAAACAAAAATAGTTCAAAAAAAATACAGAGTAAGAAAAGATTGCTGACCAGAATTTCTCAGCTTTCAGTATTATCTAAATCTAGGGAATCAGTTCAAAAGGGAGATTTCAGAGAGAAATAACACTCAGATGAAGAACAAGCTAAAGAGCATACATTACAGTAAAGGGAGTATGATTTTAAAACATAACAAATCCGAATCAAAAGATGTAAGTTCACTAATTTTGGAAGGCTAATCAACTAGGATTCTAAAAATTTCGGAGACCATTCGAAATCTGTTTCTTTAAACCCTAAAACTTCTACTCATGAGAAATCAAGACTAGGAAAAAAATTAAAGGTGAATTTAAAGGCAAAGCTGATATCCTATAACTATGTCTGAAGAGTGTCCTCAACTCAGAACAGAAGAGAAGGGAAGATACTTTTTAAGAATAGGAGCAAGGCTAATGTTAAAGCTCCTACTGAAAATTTCTCAGAGGCTGATATAAATACTATGGATCTGTACAGTCAGATTCCAGACTCAGAGATCATCCTTGGGGATAATCTTGACACCAAGCTAAACATTATCAAAAAGATCTTTAGCAAAACTATAATGCAGAGAAGAATCTAAAAATGAGTATTAAGAAATTAATAAGGAATTACATGAAGAAAATTTATAAACAATCAGAAACTCTGAAATAGAGGATAAGCAGAATCAAGGGTAGAGTATATGGATTATTCCATCACTGATTTAGACTTACAAGAGATGATGATGTATCTAAAGGAAAATGAGCATTCACAGATCCCTACTTTGTTTCAGCGAAAGCTAAGGTGGGCATATGAAGGTTTAGAAATTCTTAGCAGCTTGATAATGTAATATAGATTATTAAAAATCTCCTCTTTTCCTTAATTTTACACTTTTTAGGTGAAAATTTACAACCAAGTCTACAAACTAAATGAGATCTATAAGCAGCAGACTATGATACGTAAGCTAAATAATTGTTTCTCCTCCTCAAACTCCTACGAATCATGGTCTAGATTTAGTGAACATAGAACAAAAAGCAGGGGAAATTGCTCAAAAATCTGCAAAAATGAATCTAAGACTGAGATCCAAGACTCGTATCTTAGTTTTAAACTATCTGCAGCAAAAGAGGTTGCTCCAACCCAACAAATCGCAACCAAAAAGAGACAATATAGGAAGGAATCGTTGAATTCTGATTTTAAGATCCGTAAAGCTACTCACTGGCACATTCCTTCTTTTGCACCAAGATCAGCGATTAAGGTACCTACTTTGATTCCTTGATCAAAAATTTTGAAAAGGAAACGCTCTCACAAAGTAAAAAGAAAATACCAGAAATCAGACCATCCCAGTGAAGCTCTAAATTGATCAAATTTTTCGCATAAAAATAGAGCTGTTTGCAAGCTTCAGCCATAATTTTAGTTGATTATTTCAACCAAGAGCTGACCAAGGAGTCGTCATTTCTTGAATTAGTCCAGGAGGAACTCTCTAAATCACAGATAGTTCATATGAGGATAAACCCTGCTTCAGCATTTGAGGAGGCTAAAGACCTTAAGACAGTCAATTAGCCTACCCTACCACTTAATAGATGGATTCCCGAAGAATACTGTCATAAATGCATGAGATGAAAAAGAGAGTTTGATCTCTTTGTCCGTAAACATCATTGCAGGAGATGAGGAAACCTCCTCTGCTATAACTGTTGTGAAAATTGGGCAAGAATCAAAGATATTTTGAAGCAGGCCTTGACAAAGAACAGAAGAAGATCTTCTGACTACAACATCCAGAGTATAGTAATATTTGTAAGAAGAAACAGAAGGTGAGGATCTGTAATGATTGTCATGATTTCCTCCAAGAATCCAAGCTATCTGTATAAATTTTAATATATCTTATTAGTTCAAGACTAGAGAGCGTTTTTGGGGTTTTGGGGTTTTGGGGTTTTGGGGTTTTGGGG